CTAGTCCCAATACCAATATGTAATATGTATGTGTTTACGGCACTACCATATGTCAATTCACTTAAGTATTAATAAAAGTTTGGGGCGGGTGCTACACCCGGGGTATCCCCTAAAAATTTAAAAAAAAAAAAAATATGTGTTGTGAGTAGATTTTTTTTTTTTTTTTTTTATAATATTCTTGGTGTAGTTACTATATTTTTTTTTTTTAGATGGAACAAAGTTTTCTCCAATTTGCATTTTGAAAGGTAAATGATTATCATGTGGCAAAAAAATTCTATCTGATATCATCGCTTGGTTTTAAGATAATAGGTGGATGAATTCTGACCTTATGATACAATATGTTAATTATGTTACTGACACACAAATTAATAATAAATGTGAGGGTCCAATGATGATAGTATATAATTCTTTTAAAGGACACTTAGAAAATTCAGTTAAAGAGAAATTTTATAACAGTGGTATTGATTTAGCAGTTATTCTGAGTGGTTTGACCAGCATTTGTCAACCACTTGATGTTGTGATTAATAAACCGTTTAAGAACAATCTTTGTAAAGAATGGCATCTTTGGATGGCAAAAGGCAGTGCTGGAAAAACTGTAGCTGGAAATCTTCGACATGCTAGAATAAGCAATATATGTGAGTAGGTAAAAAATTCCTGGGAACAAATACCAGATGATGTTATTATTAAATCTTTTATAAAATGTGGTATCTCAAATGATTTAAATGAAAATAATAATACCAATAGTAGCAAATTAGAGGATTCTGGCGATAAATATGAGAATGACAATATTGAAATCATAGATATTAGTAAAGACGATGAAATTATATACATTGATGAGGATGATAAAATTATATATATTGATGAGGACGATGAAATTATAGATATTGATGATGATGATGAAATCATAGATATAATGAATATTAGTGATGATATTGAAATGATGGATATTAGTGATAATAATGAAATTATAGACATTAGCGACAATATTGAAATTATGGATATTAGCAATAATTAGTTTATTTGTTGTAATTACAAGTTGTATAACATTGTTGTATAATTTAATTAGTTGAAATTAAATAATTTAAATAAATAAATATATTAAATCTATTAATATAATGTCAGAAATGCAAACCCAATATAAAAACATGGGGTGCTTATTTTCAGATATTTTACAAAATTTGGTAGTGCTTAATTTTGGGGGGTGCTTAATTTCAGAGCTATACGGTATTGTAAATTTTTATAATAAAACCAAAATAGATTATTTAATTGGTATGTTTTAAAAAGAGATAGCAAATAGATATAAAAAAATTTATGATAAAATTTTTTAAATAAATTAACCACATAATATAGTTTGATTCTATTACAACCTATTGTAAAATATAAAGATATGCAAATTAATATTAAATAAGATATAAAAAAATTAAATTATATAAATACTCCTTTAATTATAGCAAAAACAATAATATATAAAAGTTATCTTAAAATATTTTTATATCAAAAGCCATGATATGAGACCAAAAATTTTAAGATATAAAGAATAAAAAATCTGCAAATATGCAGAATTTTGTTAAATCTGTACCATCTAACAGATTAATAATAATTATTAATATTAAAGTTATAATAATGTTTGTTATTTTATAAACAAAATATAAGTAAATATTTTATTGTATATTCTTTACAAAATGTTTAATTTTATTTAATTTTTATTTATTTTAATAAGTTTACTAAATACAAAGAGACTTCACTAAATGTATTTTTATATAAAATCTTTTTAAATACATGATGTCTAGTTTTAGTTTATAATTGTATTATATATTTTTCTTTTTCTAAATGCATACTTTCTCTAAGTGCATATTTTTAGAATTGTTTACTATATATTAAGAATATATTTTTAAAAAAAGATTTTTTGTATATATTAAATATTTTTTGCTACTTATTAAAAAACAAAAAAATATTAAGTATTACAGTATAGAAACTTTTAAATTAATATTTTTTTTAAAAATAATCAAATTTAAAACAAAATACTAAATTGTAATTAATTAATATTTTAAAATTTTATATTTTTCCAAATGTAGAAAACTAAAAAACTAAAGAAATAGAATATCACTTGGAAATTCCTGAGCAAAAAAATAGCACAAACTTTTAACAGTATTATCAGACTAATAAACATCTTTCAAAGAAATCTGTTAGATGAACTGAATAACAAGTATATGTAGAGAAGTATATATACTAATCAGGCTACTAGAACTTGCTAGGAAAAAAGTATACAAAAGTATACTAAGAGTTTGGTTACAAACCTACTAGACATCTAGATTGATAGTTTGAGAAGTTTATTAGTGCTAAGTAAGAGAATTAGTAGAATATATTAGAAAAATAGATACTGAAGTTTGGGTAAACTTTACAATAATAAAAATAGTATAATGTAGTAGTTCAACAGAATAACCTGTAACTGCAAATATTAGCCTAACTATAGTGTATTATATAAAACTAGAACAGCTATATGTGAAATATAAAAAGCTCTAATAATGATACCTTAAGAATAAACTGCATAAAACAAGATAGGTGTTTTAAAATATGAGTAAGCATCTAGAAATTCTTAACTAAATATGTATTAAAGATGTCTTAGTAATATAGTAGAGATTACAGTACAAAAGATTTAAATGGGCAATACTTATAGTTAAGTTGCAGATATAGTAGCTAGTGTAGAATCTGTATAGACAGACTATTTAAATTAGACACTAAAAGTATATATATAGCTAGTTGTACTCTTTATATAAGAGTGGCTCCTTTGAGGCTTAGATCACGAGTCCTTATATTCTATAATACTGAATAAAAACCTTAGTCTCAAAGAGGCTAGTTTAAAATAAATAAATAAATAAAAATATATTTTTATATAATATATTTAAAATTTTATTTTATTAATAACATTAAAAAAAATAAAATTATTAAATTTTAATATATTAAAAAATTAGTTTTACAGTTTTTTTTTTTTTTTTTAGGGCAATCCTGCCTTTATTATAAGAGGTGAAGTATTAAACTACTTTAAAGTATATACTACAAGCTAGAATTTCTCCCTCCTGCACAATAAAGACTTATCCGGTTACCGCAGTACCTAAATGCGATCTGCCGCAGCAAGTATTCCTCTCCGTCTTAAGTCTTCTAACTTTCTAA